GGAATGACTCAACTGGGAAAACAAGACTGGGAAAGTTGTGATCACCAGTGAGAAGCAGAGTGAACCAGTCACCTCTGTTTGGTCCAGCCCAAAACAGGAACTTGCTACACATTCCAAGAAGGGCACAAGCTCGAAAACGGGAAGGAGGTGTTGCTGCTGGGAAGGCAGCACATGGTAAAGCATCCCCCAGGAGGAAATAATGATAAACTTCACCAAGGCAAAAAGGGCACCCATCATACTTGGCCCAGTTTCTCTGAAAGGTAAGGCATTCTGAGATTAACAAGACAAAATGAGTCTTCCTGGATGCAATAAACACAAGAAATAGCAACAAGAGCTGACTGCACAAGGGGCGAGCTACACACCTAAAGCAAGTCAGGGTTACAGATAGGGTCTGCTTCCCACAATAACCGTGATCAGCTAAACATGATGTGTAGAGTAGTATAAGAAAGAACATGAGGCTCCATGTGAGGATAAGCCTGGGCTGACTGCAAAATGTTTACTGTGGGTGAAGACAGGCAGAATGACTGTACACTGCCATAACCAAACAATATTGATCTCTGGGAGGAGGTTGATTAAGAAATCCATCTCTGTGGAGTCAACATTTGGTCTAGTGGTTAAGAATTTAGCTGAAGAAGCATGCATCCCATATCAGAGTGCCTGGGTTTCAGTCCTGGCCTGGCTCCTGAGTGCTGCTAACATATACCCCAGGAGGCAGTAGTCAATGATTCAAGTACTTGGGTCCCTGACTCCTCCTACATGACAGACCCAGACTGAGTTACTGGCTTCGAGGTTCAACCTGGCCAGCCTCAGAATTTGTGGGTGTTTAGGAAGTAAATTCACATATGAGAGACATTCAATCTCTCTCTCTCTCTAGCAAACAGATAAATAATTTTAAAGAAATCTATTCTAAACATCAATGACAAAGTGAACAAAAGTTTCTACTTTTTATTTCCGCTGAAAATACAATAAAATAACAGTAAAAAAATGTTTTTCTTGAAGGTATAAATAAGCAAGGCTGAAGAGAATGAATGACAGAAAAGGCAATGGCAAAAATATCTAGGTAAATGAGTGAAAATCAAAACACAATTCAATTTACACCACAGAAATCTCCAAAAAGCTAAAGAATTAAAGACAACTGGGCTCTGTGAAGAGAGGGATGAGCTAAAAAATACTTTTTAAAAGTTAGATCTCCCAGATAATCTGAGCAGTTACATGCCTACCACTTCTCTACCCAGGCAAAAATTAAAAAAAAAAAGACCTAGTATTTTCTTCCCTGTTCCATACCCGCTAATGGCTCTGTAGCTCAATTAACTCACTAAAAACAGCCTGGAGGAGAGAGGTAAACATCTATACACTACCTGCCAAGACTTCCAGCTCTACTACAGAAAGCAGGTGGATAAGCCTAATGAATAAAAAATGATCCTCAGCAAGGTACAGCATCATGAAGCTTCAGGATTGTGGATACAGTGAATAAAATTTCACAAAATTCCAGAGAGGAGCCAACAGGTTAGTACACACAGGACACAAGGAAAATTTCAGGATCTGAACGGTTTTGAATATCTCAACAGCCTCATCAGAAGCTAGAAGGCCTTCAAAGTATCCATCTAGAACTCTACATTCAGCAATCAATCATCTGAAAGAGAAAGATCAATATTTTCAGGTATGACTGGTCTCAGAACAAGAGATCTTTCATGCCTGTTTTCCAGAAACTCCTTGATATGCTCAACCAAAACAGAGGGAACTGCAAGTGCCAGGGATGATGCAATACAGGAGAAAGATGCTGACAAGGACCCTGATGTAGAAGACAATCAGTACAGGCAATAGTAATCTAGAAGGCTTAAGAAGAGCCTCTTGAAGAAAAAGAACTTGACAGCAGACCTGATACATATGAAGGAATATTTTTAAAAATTTGACCAAGAGTTGCAGGTTGAATTAACAACATATACAAAATGAACGAAGCCATTATTAAATCAAAACATGTACTTGGCTTACGTATTTTTCTTAACCTAACTATTAATCAATATGCTGTAACTACTACAAGGACAGGAAAATACAGAAGCTGTGTTTGTATTAGGGGGCTGGAGAGAAAAAGATAGGTAGCTTATCACCTTCCACAGTGAGAAGTTAACAGATAACGTTTCAAATTGAAAATCTGAAGAAGTATCAACTATCAACAATATATAGCAAAGAATTTCAACTAGTATTTCTGGGAAGGAAAAGGCTAATTTGCTTTAACATCAAAGAATAACACATCAACTAACTGTCCACATAATTTTTTACATTCCTTTGCTTTTCCTTTGTACCCCTAAAAATAACTGAATCTTTTAAAATTTTATCCTTGCTTCCTCTAAACAAAACAAAAGGTAATTTTTCCACAGCTAGACCACAGTAAACAAGGTCATCCGAGCTCTGAGCAAACATGATAGGGAAGGCAATACTGATAATCCAATCTAAGGAATGTTTGGATGGAGCAGAGCAGAAACAAAAAGACAGGCCCAGGTAGAACAAATAGGGAGCTGGAAGAAACTACTAGGTCCTTCCCCTTTGTTCATCTGTTTCAACAAAACTATTCTCACAGGGACTGGCAGCTTGGGCTGCCACCTGCAATGGCAACATCTCAAATGGGCTCGGGTTCATCTTCTAGCTGCTTCACTTCTGATCCACCTCCCTTATAACATGCCTGAGAGGACAGCAGAGGATGATACAAGTGTTTGGGCCCTTTCACCCATCTTCCCCTGCTTTCCCAGGCACATTGACAAGGAGCTGCATCAGAGGTGGGGTAACCAAGTCTCCAATATGGGATGCCAGCAACACATGTGGCAGCTCAACCTGTCAATACACAACACCAGCCCCAGTAAATATTTTTTAAATAAAAAAGCTATTTTCATGGTATAATTACCTGGTATAGGATAATTTTACAATTTCCCATGGCCTATTTCACTCCTTTCGAACAAATGCAAATGCTCAATTTATAACCTTAATCCATATAAGGCCACTTCCCTAAGCTCAACTTCAGTTAGTGTACTCTTGTCTACTGCAGATTCAAAAAGACAAGAGCACAGTGAGCATTCTGGAACAAGTGACACTGTCATCTGCAGGCACGAATGGAGCAAACATGAGGAGCCCCACCCCAGGCTGAGGATCAACATCCCTGCTCATCTGGAGCTTCCAGAAGTAGAAATGTGGGGAGCAGTGGGATGGAAGCCAAAGAGCTGGACGCACAGGAGCAGGAAGGAGAGCACCCATCTGGTCCACCAGGAGGAACCTGCAGGCAGGGGTGTGGCTGGAGGCACAGGGCCCAAGATCCCAGCACTCCGCACGCCTGAAGAAAGGCAAGGAAGCCAGTCATCAGAGCCCAAGCCTAAAAGTAGGCCAGCCACTGACCACGCCCCTCCAACCTCCTTGTTAGGAGTCACCTCGAGGGAGCAAGGGCTCTGAGCTTTGCCATGGATGATAAAACACTGCCAGCTGTTCAGAAAATACAACTGCCTTGACATAGAGTGAAGTAGGGAAACAGATTCAAACATCCAAGACCATATGTGAATAACCTACATTCTTTCTATTTGGGGGAAAATGTGACAAGTCGAGTTTATAGGCCTATGTGAAGCAAAGGTATTATCAACTAGAGGACAGTGCTGATTTGCATGTGTTTATAGCAACTTACCCTCCTGACACAGCTCCACACACCAAAACACACACACCATTGTGGAAAGAACCAAGCTCATTAACACCACACACTACAGTGTGCATCCTGGAGTGGCAAGAGCAGTAATATAGCGATCACATGTAGTATGGGGGAAAATGGCTTTCATAAACACTGAGAATGTAACTAAGCTAAAAAAATATTTTCAAATGCATAATGTGAAAATCACCCATGCTTCTCTTTTCTCCATATATGTTATGGCATTCCATATTACATGTGATATTTGCCAAATAACAAACTAAAAATCTCACAAATTACTTTGCTAAATGGCAAAATATATGTGGGAGACCAGCGGTTTGTTGGGTTTTGTTTTTCAGCATTTTTTTCTGTTCCTTTCTCCCCAGCAGTCATCTGCAAGAGAGTAAACCATCATAATTTCCTATGAGGAAGATGGACACTCACTGGAAAAACACAGTGCATACGCACAAAATCTATAACTGTTTGGACAGCTTTCAAACCCACAGAGACTTAGCCATCCACTACACTGTACTTCCAAGTTAGCACTAAGAGCAACACTTCTAAACAAATATGCCAGTTTCAGGAACCTGTAATATGGTGTTGGGAATTAACCTACTGCCTGCCATGCCAGTATTCCATATGAGCTCCATTTGGAGTCCTGGCTGCTCCACTTTCAATCCAACTCTTGTGAAAGGCAGCAGAAGATGGCCCAAGTGTTTGGGCCCCTGAGTCCACCTGGGAGGCCAGACGACAGCTCCCAGCTTTGGTCTGACCCAGCGTCAACCATTGCAACCTTCAGGAGAGTGAGCCAGCAGATGGAAGAACTCTCTCTCTCTCCTCCCCTTCTAACTCCATAACTCTTTCAAATAAATACATTTTTAAAAGCTTTAATACAATTTCAGTTTACAAAGAAGGGTTACAGATGTGCTTGTTTGTGAACAAGCAACATGTCATGACAAAAAAAAAAATCAAGAGCAAAGTTAAGATCTGAAGAAAAATACACACTCCCAGCTCAGCCTAGTTTTTCCCCAAATATTGGCCGAGCCCCCATTTCCAAGATCCAAACACGATTTCCCCACCCCTCACTCCCCAGGAGCGGGGAGGGGGAGGGCTGGGAACTGATGACTGTGAAGAACAAAGTGGATTCTGCCAACTTTCTATCAAGACTGCGCGCTGGAGCAAAGCCGAGGAATCCACTGCGCCGCGCCCCCTGGGCGGCGAACCCAACGCCGAACTTGTCCCGGGGAACCTGAGGGAGAAGGGGGCGGGTGCTCCTCACGAGCAGTCAGCGTCAGCAGCTGCCGGGAAGGTGCCGCCTCGAAGGGCGCAGGTGTCTCACCTCCCAACCGGAGCCTCCTCTCCCCGCGGCGCGGAGGAGACAAAAATTACCCCTGGTCTACGACGGTCCGTCTTCGAGCGTTCGGAGGCCACCTCCCGGTCCTTACCCTTCCCCGCCAAGTGCCACCACGGCCCCGGGGCCGCCGCAGCCGCTCCCCCGACGGCCTTACCTCACGTGAGAGCGCCCGCTGCGGCGAACCGTGGACAGCGCGAGATCTGACGGAGATGCCGGAGACCCAGGCCGGACACCCGCCGCAAACTCCGCCCCCGGTCGCCACGCCCCCTCAGACTCCGCCCCATCCCGCCCCGCCCGGGCCGGCTCGCTCCGCCCCGACGAGGCCCCGCCCTGCTGGGACTGGGAAGCTGGAGGCCTCCGTGGGTCAGAAACGCGTCAACAGGTCCGAGTCTCCTGAGGAGGACTGGGTCTCGGCCCAGGAGAGTCGCCCCGTCGGGGCTCCCCGGCTGGGAGGACCCCGAGCAATGCCACCTGTAGGTGACTGGGAACCGTGTCAGAAATGGGAACCGCACCGCCCTCTTGGATTAGCCGAGAGCCAGGCCGGAGACACAGCGCAGTGGAGCGAAGCAACGGCTTTTACCAAAAGAACAAGTCGTTTTACTGTCAGACCTGAGGCAGCCGGGCGTGTCTGACACACGGAGAGGGGCCTCTAAGCTCTTGGTTGACCCTTCAGCTTAACACTCGTTAACGTGTGGAAAACAGCTCTTCAGAGTAGATAGCAGGCACTGTTCTAGAACCTTTACATGTACTAAATGTCCAAGAAGTACACCGTATCCGGATCACCATGGACCAGGAACAAGGCAAGGCTTTTATTGTGCTGTAGGGTGAAAGGCAGTAAGAAATCAATAAGTGAGGGAAAAATGAAGCCATTTCCTGAGAAATGTCTTGACTAAAAGCAGGGAGATGGAAGAAGGCTTGAGGCAGTTCCTGGAGGCTTTTGGGAGAGGTGGCAAGTGGAGCCAAGACCTAAGGAAAAGGATGTGTGAGAGAAAGAGAAATTGTTATTAAGGAGCATGGGATGCCATTATTCCCTAGGAACTCTCCTGGCTTCTAGTCCCAGTGCGGCTCCCAATTCCAGTTTCCTATTAATGCAGGCCCTGGACGGCAGGAGGTGGTGATGGCCCAAGCACTTGGTTACCGTGCCACAATGTGGGGGAGACCTGGCCCAACTTCAGTTTTTGTAAGCATTTGGAGGATTGAACCATCAAATAGAAAATCTCTATAGCTCTCTGCAAAATACATATTTTTATTTTTTTTAAAGATTTATTTTTATTATTTTTTCATTGGAAAGGCGGATATACAGAGAGGAGAGACAGAGAGGAAGATCTTCCGTCCAATGATTCACTCCCCAAGTGAGCGCAACGGGCCGATACTATGCCGATCCGAAGCCAGGAGCCTCTTCCAGGTCTCCCACGCGGGTGCAGGTTCCCAAGGCTTTGGGCCGTCCTCGACTGCTTTCCCAGGCCACAGGCAGGGAGCTGGAAGGGAAGCGGGGCTGCCGGGATTAGAACCGGCGCCCATATGGGATCCCGGGCGTGCAAGGCGAGGACCTTTAACCACTTGCGCCACCGCGCCGGGCCCAAAATACATATTTTTAAAAAGGGGGCAACCAACCTGAAGATTGGAAGCTCCTGAAACTCAGCATATGGCAAGTTGCTCAAGTTTTCAAACTGCGTGCTTCTAAGGAAATTGAAGGCAGTGTCTTCCAAAGTATTTCTCCTTTAATTGCTATAATAACCACGGGAAGAAAGCCAATATTTCATTTAACCAGGTGGGAAAAAAACAAGGGTCAGAGAAGATTTCATGACTTGCATAGAGTTATGCAGTTAATTAGGGAAAGGGAGAATGGGTAGAGGGTACGTATTTGATTCAAGGCCTTCTGGCTCTATATCCTGTTTTACCCCACTGTCAGGCTTGAAGAGAATGACCTGAAACCTGAATGAGTCTAGAAAAGTTTTCTCTTTTTCTTAATTACCATGTTACCTAACCCAGTATCTCCTGCCTCTTACCCCATTTGGGTACTTCTTTTGACTATTAACACCATTTCTCCCAGAGCAGATGGTTTTTGAAGAGTAAGATTCATAAATCCTATGGAATTGTATGCCAAAAACTTCTTTGTCCCTGTGAGTACGTAGACAGAGAAAGTTATAATTATGTAATTATAGTAACAAGCTTAATTTTCTCCCAAGAAAAATATTCATCTCTAAACCAGGGAACTTTAAGAGGATTATGGAAAATGAAATTAAGATAAGTATTTTTGTGCCAATATTTTAAAATCCATCCTTTAAGGGATCTTCAAAGAATTCACGGAAATGTGTATTATGAAAAAAACTTTTCACTGACTTCAAAATTTTGGCACCAAAATAAACATTTAGGGGCTGATGCAGTTGCACAACAGGCTAATTCTCCACCAGCAAGCACCAATATCGTATATGGGTACTTGTTCATGTCCTGCCTGCTCCACTTCAAATCCACCTCCTTGCTTATGACCTGAGAAAGCAGTAGAGGATGGCCCAAAGCCCTGGGACCCTGCATCCACCCAAAACTTTGGGACCCTGCATCCACATGGGATGCCCAGAAGAAGCTCCTGACTCCTAGCTTCAGATCGGCTCAGTTTTGGCTGTTGTGACCATTTGTGGAATGAACCAGAGGATGGAAAATCTTTCCCTATGTCTCTCCTTCTCTCTGCCTTTCAAATAATAATAAATTTTTTTTAAAGATTTATTTTATTTTTATTGGAAAGGCAGATATACAAAGAGGAGAGACAGAGAGGAAGATCTTCCGTCCAATGATTCACTCCCCACCCAGGCAGCCACAACGGCTGGAGCTGAGCCAATCCAAAGCCAGGAGCCTCTTCCGGGTCTCCCACGCGGGTGCAGGGTCCCAAAGCCTTGGGCCGTCCTTGACTGCTTTCCCAGGCCACAAGCAGGGAGCTGGATGGGAAGCGGGGCTGCTGGGATTAGAACCAGCGCCCACATGGGATCCCGGGTGTGCACCACCATGCCGGGCCCATAATAAATCTTTTAAAAAAACATTTAATTCCATTTTCCATTAACTTTTTAGAGTACCCACATACATGTTTAAGTAGGAGAACTTTCATCATTTTGCAAGATGCCAGTTAGATAATGGCTACTGCCTTTACGTTTAACTTATATTGTGGTGATCAACAGAAATAATTTTCAGTTCACTTTGCCTATTCCAGCTGGGGGACTCTGGTGTTACATATTCTTAACTAAATGCAAATGAGACTCTCAAAGTTTGTGAACTTTAAGTGAAAGGGCAGCAAACCCAGATATTTACATAACTCCTTCATAAAGTTTAAAGTGAAAAAAACAGTCTACATTGTCCCTTCTAATTTTCAGGAAAATCAGCAGACAGATCTACAAATAAAACACCTACACAAATAAACATAACTATTGATAAGTCTTGGGGTAATTTTCATAATGTCATACCATTTCCTAAAGAAAGTTCATGACATTCTCAATTAAACAGGTAAGTAGTTGGTTGCCACAGTTCTGTCATCCACAGGTTACAAGTAGAGAGCTCTGGACACTGTTTTTTAGCAACATGTTGGTAAAAGAGTAGAGAGGATGGACAGACTATTACAGAACTTCAACTACATCAATGAAAAGGTGTAAAAATCAAACTTAGAAAGTAGTTAGCAAAAATAATAATAATAATAATAATAAGGGTCAGCATCATGGCCTAATATGTTAGGCTTCCATCTACAGTGCTAACATCCTATATGGGGGCCAGTCAAGTCCCGGCTGCTCCTTTGTTGATCCAAATCCCTGGCTTGGGAAAGCAACAGAGGATGACTCAAGTTCTTGGACCCATGTACCCAAGTGGGACATCCAGAGAAAGTTCCTGGCTGCTGGCTTCAGATCAGCAGCACTCAGGTCATTACAACCATTTGAGGAATGAACCAGTAGATGGAAGATCTTTCTCTTAGTCTCTCCTTCTCTCTCTATAATTCTGCCTTTCCAATGAAAGGAAATAAATATGGACTCTCATCAGGGAAAAAAAAAGAAGGAAAAATAAAAAATAAGACTCCTGCCTCCAAGGAGAGGGTCAAAAGTAAATTATTACTGTCTTCTTCATTTTAATTAAAATCAGATGCAGAAAAAAAGGAATTAATGTCAACTTTATGGAGAAGAGAATCTCTCTTCGTACAAGATAGCTCCAGGAATTGTATAAAATTTGTACTGTCAGGTTGATGAATTTCAGTTCCTTTGAGAGAGGAAAAGGAATCTTTGAACTTTCATTAGATTCCATGTGGTACATAGGGAGACATACAGAATCACCCTGGGAAGCTCCTAAATAAAACACGGTTTGCATTTGAAGTTTCTTGCACTCCATTTTTTTGTGACCCTCGGTCTGTGGGCCCCTGAAATTATGTGCGAGCCCCAAAAGAGCCTCCTGACTTCACATTGCACCAGCTCCAGCCCTTGCATATTTTCTCTCTCTCCTTATTTATCTCTATTGTGTCAAGATCCCAACTAATTTCACCCTTCCACACAGATGAGAGAAATTGAGGACACTGTGAATATCTCTAAGAATTCATTGGCCCATAAGGTCATCTATCTCAATTAGATCAGTTTGCCTCTTTATCACATTTCCCACCTTGTGCCCCAAATTAAATTCCTTTGTTATATTGCCCTACTCTTTTCCTAAAGCTTTGATCACCTTATCACCATGTTCATTTTTTTTTTTAAATAATGATTACTTGGTTGATCAGGGTAGGAAGGATTGAGGTTTAGGGAAAATTGGATGAATTCATTGCTTCCAAATTTGCTATTTCTTCTTATTGTTCCTGGGGGAAGGGGAGAGACAAAAGAGGAAACCACACATGACTTTCCATACATCCCAGCACCCAGGGATGAGAAAGCGCCACCTCATATCAACTCAGAGTCTCAATGTGTACACACTCCGAGGGTTCTGTCCAAGTGGCCTGGATAGTTCTGAAATGTTGCCGACTTCACCAATCAGAAGATGATGCCACACTCCCAATGTCTATTGGCTCTATTCACAGAGATTTTTTGCTGTCATTGATTGTTTTGGGTAGTTGTCCAGTTAGTTCTGTTCTTCTTCTGCTACAATACCAAATGTGTTGTAGCTACCACACTCTCCTTTTA